GCATACGATTTAGCAAGCTGACATGACAAATCACCTGTTGAAGTGACGATCTTGTCTATTTAAAATATTTTAAATTTTTAGTGCTTTTTTAAAATAATAAATTAAAAAAAATTTAAAACTTTTTAAAAAATTTTATTTGGAAAATTATTTTCTTTCCCCTTTCTAAAAATTTATGTGATCTAAAGTTGTTTTATTTAATTTGACCTAATAAAATATGTCGGCTTTAAGAAATTTGTTGTCATTTTTTTTCTAAAAAAATAAAATATTTATAATTCTCAACGTAACTTCTTAAGCACTTGTTTTCTTCGCTATAATTTTCCAATCACTTTTATAAAAAATTACGATCATCTCGAACATATCCTCTATCCTTAAACTTTTCGTCTCAGAACACATCTGAAAGATGCTTGGGTTCAATAATGTCGACATTAGATGTCAAAATGAAGCTTACTCGCATTTTATTTTTCTTACTATGTTCGTCCATCCTGGTGATTTTTTTGAACTACTGAACCGATGCATTGCACATGCCATGATCTAATTACGAAGCATTAGAAAAAAATTAAAAATATGAGTCGGGATTTTATCATGAATTTTGATAATTGAGTGAGAATTTTAATAATGGAGGGAAAAATATGGTTGATTTGTAAATACAAAATTTCGGGTAGTTTGTTTGTAAATTCCTTCGAAAAATTATGGCAAGAATATAAAATATTAAAATAAGCTGATAATTAAATTCTCTCTATATTAAAAAATCATAAAGCAGACAAAAAATATCATCAACGTGCACACAAGATCTTATAACTTTTAAGTGATTAGTTTAATGATATAAAATAACTAAAATGGAATAATCATAATTTTCATAAAAAATTATAATTATTGTAACAAATATGCTTGCTATAGTGCTCGACCGCCCGACCTGACCTAATTTGGGCCCGAGTTAGGATAAAATATTCTGTGGGACACATCACGTCCGGACGACCAACCGCCGACCATCACTTCGCCATACAGCTCATCGGCAAACGACGTAGTGGCTGATAGTTGATCGTTCGGATTAAATATTTTTTTTTCCCAAGTTAGACTTCATACATGCCTTTTTCATCCATTTCACTTTTAGGAGCCTTCTTGCCTCTTTATATATATATATATATATATATATATATTTATGTCAAGTTAGTGAAGAATTTTGTCGACTGCTACAAATAATAATCACCACGGTCTAGTAGTTATCTCAATCAAATATCTAACTTTATAACATCATTTATCTATGGCATAGTATTTATCCACATTATACAATTAAAAATAGTTTATTTGTCTCCATTTATAGGAAAATTATTATGTTCGGCGAACAGCACGTCAGACAATGATAATAATCTAATCACGCCACATGCATTTCATGCGGTTGAATCGTCTTCGGTGTCCAAATATACAGACATCAAACGTATTAGGGTCCGTTTGGGGCAGCGATGCGGTGACGGAGCGACACAGCATCACAATTTTGTCTGTTTGGGTAAACCTTGTTTTGACATCATTCCCAAAAAGCTGCAGCTGAAATCTACGTTTTCCAACTACTCATGCTAGGTACGATGACAACTTTCCAGATGCAGTATGACTTTAAAAAATAATTTTATAATAATCACCACAGTTTTTTTATCATCAGATTATTATTCAACAGCTACACAACTGCAGCTACCCCAACCAGACTCTTAGGGTCTGTTTGGGGCAGCTGCAGCTTATCCAGCTTGTCCTGATAAACTGTTTATTCTGATAATCCGGTGACAACAGCTGATCCGGATAAGCTGTCTGTTTGCTTGGTTTGTGCGTTTAGAGAATAATTGATTCTGAAAAAATGACTAATCAACCTCTATTCTGGATAAACTGCAGTTGTTTGATTTGTGTGTTTCGTAAACAACTTATTTGATATTTTCTTTACACGGACACAACATATTTACATGTCTAACACCTAGTTATTAATAATGATATACATTATTAATCTTTTAAAAGTAAAATATACATTTTCATGTATAGGTTTATGACATCCAACTGTTGTGTATGTGTAAGTATCAAACTTTTGTTTTTAGATATCTAAACTGCATAAGAATTGTGTGAACTCACAGTAGACAATTGATATCATAAAAAAATCAATTTACTTTCTCAGCCCTATCTACAAATCATCTCAGTGGCAAGTGACAAAAAACGAAATAAGCCACTTCATTTACATATCACATAAAAAAGATAACAATAGTGTCAATGACGGAACTAACAAAGTAAGCCAACATATGTGTCATACAAGCAGTGGTTGCCCTAAAAGAACATGGAACATGGGCCATCCAAGCTGCAATCGTACAATTTGTGATTTCATCAAAGCTACGATTGCATAGTATTTTCAAGCTAACATAGTATACTCAATAACTAAAGTTTGGAAGCAACGGTTGCCAACAACAAATCTTTCATAACATAACTAAAGTTTGAAAACTCATAACTATCATTTCCCAAGCAATACCACATCTATACTGCAATTAATATATCTAACACCTGCATTTTACACCAAATCTTTTTGCACATATCTTTTAGCACATGATCCCCTCGATTAGTAGGAATAACAGAACTTAAAGCAATAGTAAGCATCACTTCAACTTTCATATCAATATGCATATTTTAAGAGATGGTCAAATGTATACCCTTGTAAACAACTTTTAAACTCAAAATGAACTACTGTTGAAATCAACTCTCATCTGAAACAAGATAAATTTGCAAGAATATGAAGCTTGTTGTATCCAAAATCGTTGTTGAGGGCAAGCACAGGGGCACGCACAGTGAAATACGAAAGTCAAATAAATCTATTATACCCACAACCGTAGCTTTAAAACTCAAAAGAAAATCACAGCAGAAAGCCATCAAGAAAGGCCAACGAAATAAGGGATTTTTTCTTGAAGTCTCCGTTTCTGTTAAACTGTCACTTAAGGAACAATATGCAAAATATTTGTACATTGAATCAAAATAATATTAAAACTTATGAAAAATTTGTATCTTTTAAAATAAACTGTTTAGAAAAGAATTTAACTTGGAAATCAAAACAGAAGTGATAAACACAGAAGATCCTTCAAGCAGATGCTCCCTTTAACAAGTTTAGCATTGTGTTGTCATTTTGAAATAAATCATCCATAAACTGAAATCTAATTCAGCTAATTCCAATTAATTCTTCCAAAATACACAGACACCAAACACAAAGGAAGCGATTCCAAGCACACAAAGGAAGCTTGCAAAGAAGAGATGGCGAGGAGGAGGCAGAGGAGATGTCGAGGGGGTCGAAAGATCCGACGGGAGGAGGAGAAGCGAACGAGACTTAGGGCAGAGGGAGGGGCAGAGGGAGCGAGGGGCGTCAATCGCCTTTCGCTCGTATGAAACATGGATCAAACGACGACGGAGCGCTGCAATGTGCTGAATTGGAGAGGGAAATAGAACTCCGTGAGTTCGACCGGAGAGAGGAGCAAGGCACCAATAGGGTTTTGCGATGGAGGTTCTCTGCCAGAGCTTAGAATGCGGAAGAAAACGACACCCACGAGCAAAGGCCGTATATGTCTTTCCCTCGAATGAAACGACCCCTCATCTAATATTAAAAACGGAACATAGTTTTCAAAAACTCCTTCAAAATGTGATAATCAAACACTCGGTGGCATTTTCAAAAAGTCACCGCTGTGAATAAGCTCTCCCAAAAGCACCATTAATCTCTCATTCATTACTCTTACCATCACAAGCTGCATGATTAATTATTCAATCCTGTCCAACACTATCTTATCTCCAATCATCGCCGTACAACATCTTATTCAATTATGAGTAGTTCGGCAATAAACGTCCAATTGATATGCAATAGAAAAATACCTTTATGTAAATTAAAAATTAATTAACGAAATAGTGACATTACATAAAAAAAATAAGTTTAATATAAAAATCGGAAAAATACTTGTTTTGAAAATAAGAAATAAGCATTTGTAACTAATATTTTTTATATATCCGGAGCAAGTACATAAGTATGATCTTATTATGAAATTATAATTTACAATGATTAATATTTTGATTCTAATTTAATAATTTTTAATGTATTAATTTTAATTGTTTTTTGTCCATATGTTTAATTTATTTTGAATTTACTATTTTTGATGGGTCCAAAGAGTTATAGTAATTAATTATCATCCCAATTCAATGCACATTAAACGTCTGTTTGGGGCAGCTGCAGCTTGTTGAAGAATATGTTGATAAACTGATTAAAAATAATCTACTGATAAGCAAGGCGTGATGATTATTATAATTTTTTTTTTTTTTAAAGTCAGATCATTGTAAATTGCCCAAACAGATCAGGTGTGTTTTCAAAACGCCACGAATTTTTTTTTTTTTTTTTGAAAAGTCATATCATTGTCAGAAAACTGCCACCACACCATTTATATATGTGCAGTGTGAAAATGTTGTTTTCAGCATTTTAAAAATACATAAGGTGTCAAAACTCAGTTTACCCAAACAGATCAGGTGTGTTTTCAAAACGCCACGACACCAAGTACGTTGCCTCAAATTGAGACCCTAAAATTATTGAGGAGAAGCAAAAGAATGCAACTTAATTTTTTAAGTGTAAGACCCTATAACCTTATAGTTAAATATTTTTATCACTAATTTTCTCAATATTTTTAGAATATTAATAGCAATAGTTTTTATATAATATTAAAAATTTAAATGTCATGGGTCTAAATATGAAATTTTAGGTAGGATGAATGTAAATACTCATGAATAATGTCTTAAAGATTTTAATTTTTAACCATAATTATTAATAAAAAAGAGCATATTTTTTTAGCAATAAATTAAACAATTCTTTAATTTAAAACCCTATCTAAACCCTAATTAATACATTAAAAAATTATCTGCATGTTCTGCATGTTGCATGGTCACTAATGTTGGGCTCGTTTTCCCACATGAATACAATAAATTTTAGAAGACTCTAAGAGCAGAGACCGCCTTCTCTCCCTCCTATAAATGGGCTAGCCTTGCCGCTTTAACTGGCGCTCTGATTGCCTAGTGGCCATTAGAAAGCTCCGGAGAGGGAGTGAAGGGGTGGAGAAATGGCCCGGGAGAGTCGAGAGGAGACGATCGCTGAGCCTCTTCTGGCCGCCGCCTCCGGCGGAGGTGGCGGGGTGGGAGGAGAGTTGGGGTTTGGGAAGAGAGATGACATGGAGGAGATTAAGAGTGTGGGACAGTTTATGAGGGAGGCGGCAGCAGAGAACAGGAGAATGTGGGCTCTTGCGGCGCCGGCCATCTTTACTTCAGTAGCTCAGTATTCTCTGGGGGCAATCACGCAGGTGTTTGCCGGACACCTTACAACCCTAGACCTCGATGCTGTATCCATCGAGAATATGGTCATCGCTGGACTCGCTTTCGGCTTAATGGTACGGTAGTCATCCTTTCTTGCATTTCTTAATTGCTCCTGGAGATTTTTATTTTTTTTATAATTATCCTCGTCGTTTTTTTGGGGTTTTGTTTGGCAGCAAGTACAAATTTAAAATTAGCGTTGATTCAGATTTTGAAGATTCTGAAACTGAATTCATCAGAACAATTCTAGAATCCTATATTTAAAAAGAACAGTTAATTAACAGGATTTAAGATTAAGCTTGTTTAAACCCTGCGTACAAAGCTGCCATTCGAGTTTTTTATGTAAGCAGGAACTTGTTCTAGCAGTTTCAGTAGATCTTCTGATTGTTGGCTTTTGTTAAGTTTTTTGAGTTTGTTAAATGATTTTCTGGATGGTGAAGTATTTGATTTTTGTCATTTTTAAAAATTGTTTTGAATTTGGATGTAACTTGGAGGACTGATGGATTTTTGGTTTTTGAAATTGGTTTGAGTTAGATTACTTGTTGCTGCTTCTAATATTATTTGTGGGAATATACCAATAGCTAGGGCTGTCAAAACGGCTCGTTGTTCGTGAACAACTCTTGTTCGACTCGCTAAGAAACTCGTGTTCGGCTCGTTCGCTACGTTAACGAGCCGAACACGAACAACACGAATAAATATTTGTCCGTTCATGTTCGGCTCATTATATATATATATATATATATATATATTTTTGATGAGGAGTT